AGCACCCACTCAGTCTCAGAGTTGTTACCCGAAAATTCCGCGAAAGATCCGTGAAAGATCCGCGAAAGGTCCGCGAAAGATCGCGTAAGCCAAGCAAGACCCCAGCCTTACAAGCCATGGTCTTGGCGCTTCCGTCTTTAATCCCGCTAGTTCCATGGGCATTTGTGCCTTTAAGAGTTCAAGGCTTGAAACATGTTTTTGCGAAAGCTGGCGATGGTGTCGGCGAAAGGAATTTGGGATTTCCGCGATGAGGTCATTGTGTCATGAAGTAATCTTGGATAACAATCATATGAGGGCCTACATATACAACTAGGTCTTTCAAATCTTGGTATCCAAGTTAAGTTGATACCCCAAGTTGACCCACATGTGAAAACAGGCTCCGTGGAAGTTTCGCGAAAGAAGACGCGGAAGGATTACACTTTTTCACGAAAGATGTGTGATAGCAGTGTCACTCAGTAAAGTAAGATGATTCGCGAAAGGAACTTGGGATTTCGCGAATGAAGCATCGTAAGCTTAAGTTCCTTACGTGCAGTCAAAGCATTTCTCTTCTTGCAGTCCGATTGCAGGGAGATTTATTATATCACCCAGCCGATTTGCGTGAAGCTTTTTTTAAAATCCCCATGATATTGCAGGTATTCCCTGGCCCCTAGACAAGGCTTGTCTGTGCACTTTTGGGGAAAGCCTCGCAGTGAACGGGCATGCTCAAAGGTTAAAGGGTTGCAAGTCTTTCTGAAGCATCCAGTCTCAGAGATTATACACCTGGGAGCAGCCCAGTTTCCATTTCAATGTTCTTCTCCCTTTGATTCTCCTCACAACTTCTCTCCCTCGCTTTGGGGCGCAAGAATGGCTAATGCTCGGCATTTCCCAAGAAATGGGGCTTTCCCAAAATAAGGGGTCCCTTTCTGTGGGTCACCATTAAGAGGATTATAGTTTTTCTGGGTCAACATGGGGGGTCCCCCTATTCATGGAAGCTACGAAATTTCCTGCACCTCACCGGACGTCACAAGGCGAAGCCCTCTTGAGACGAGCTAAGATATCAGCCATTCAAGACGCAATGTTGATGGCAAAAACTGTGTATGATCCTAAGTATGTGGCACTGCCATGATTCTCAGGGTTTCGGCATGCGGGGTCATGCAACGTTCTGTCCATCAACAGTACCATGAACAAAGGACCCTGGAGGAAGGCGATATCGCCCCGAAGTCGCGACACGAGTCTGCCGCGCGGCTCCTATTTGTGTTCTGGCAAGCTGGCGGATAGCATGTTGGAAGAACGTTGCGATCCAGCTAGGAAAGTTCTTCTAATTTCGGAACGAGCTCATGCCAGCCAGCCTTCTCGTTGTACGCTCATATGAAGTACCCTAGAGCCCTAGAGCCCTAGACAGTCGTTAAAGGGGAACTCGGGGACTCATCATCTTGCTAGAACTCCCTGACATACCCCCAGACACTGAGGGCCTCTAGTGATTTACACTTTCTTGCAGTCGTGTTGGAGCACCTTTGCTTTGGGCAGCAAGGTCTCGCACGCTGACGCCCAGGATGGGGAGTGAGAAGCTTGCCAGCACTCTTAGCATACCGTCAGCCTCACACTTCTTAGTAGCATCATTACCACTACTATCATTATTACGCACTGAGTATGTACTCGTGCCGCTGTTACTCGTGCTGCTACTAGTACCATTACGCTAGTACTATGACGGGGTGGGTTGAATTACATGTGCAGGCGTTGCTCTGTAGCAGTCATGCGAGTGCCTGTCGAGTTCTGCGATGGCGCTCTATCCGTTGAATTCATGCCATTACTTTCTTACCATTATACTGTTTTTGTTGTTGCGATGGTTAGTAGACAGCATTAGAATTGCCGTTGCTGTTACCATTACCGGTTCCGGGAACCTCACTCTTCCACCGCCCTTGCCATTCGCCACACTTAAGCCTCTCTTTCATGGCTTCATGCCAGCCTTTTATGAGTATGAGAGGAACCACAGCGAAATCGGGAGAAGTCGTCTGCTTGGCTGATCAGATGACAACTTCCCCACTCCCTATTGTGTCATACGAATTTCTGGACATGAGACTGCCAACTGCCACTGTTCTAAGGACGGTACGGGCTAATGAGAGGAGTCTGCCACCACCGCGCCCTCTTCCTGCTGAATTGTGCTCATGTTGAACGTTTGTAGCGTATCCTCGTGTATCTTCCACAAACCAACAAGTTTCAGCAGGCATGTGCGTCTACCCTGTACAGTTATGAGACTAGGGCTAGGGCCAGTGCAGGTTTGCGCAGCCTTGTACAAAGAAGCTGCAGCGGGAGAAGTCGGGTTGAATGGATGCAACAGAAGTCCCTGTAACCCACTTCAAGCAAAGCATGGGTGACAGAGAAGGGACAGCAGAGGCATCCAAACCTCCTTAACTTCCAGGATGATAGCAGGCAAAAAGGCAAAAACAGCTTGTAAACAGAAAGTTCTTGCAGCAAGGGGTGAGTTGTCAGAAGAGTCAGGACGGGCCAGGATATGACAGGATGCTTTCTACGAATGAGGTCTGTTACAGCTGCTGCGTCCACTGCTTGCATCTGACAAAGACCGACCTCGGCGCTTGGCATCCAGAAAATGAGGGTTCTCAAACCTACTGATAATCGTGGATCCCAAATTTGTGGTCCCAATAGTCATTCATGCCAGGCTTTGCTAGGGTCACCCTACTTCTGAGAAATGTCTGGACGTCAGCTTTCACTGCCCACCATCTCGAAGTCCCTTCTTCAAAGGCTAAGATAGATTGTCCGCTATTGCCATCTTCGAAGGACCGAAACGGCCCAATCGCTGTATGGTTTCTAATCAAAACACCACGATCCCTTGATGACATGAGGGACATTCTTGTCTAATTGCAGGGCTGAGTGGGGTCCCTTTAGTTATTATGGAATTGTACGGGATGATATCATTTGAGACTGTCCCAAGTGCTTATGCAGCCCCTTGTACTGGTGCCCCTCAAGCACCAGCATGTCGTTAACCCAAACCCAAACCCCCATCGCCAGATCTTCGGCCTCCACCTCCACCAGACTGCGAGGACCGGGAGCCTTGCATGTCATTACATGGGACCTTCTGAGCGTAGAACTATTGCAGTGCCTAAAGGCTGGGAAACGATGACCTTGCCCCAAGCGGCGGTGGTGTATGGAGAATTGCAGTGCGAATCCTGTATAAGAAGCTCATCTTCCCAGGGTAGCGTACCCTGAGTTGCTCAGCTTGCTACACGTTAGTTTTCCCACGACAACGGCGGAGCAACTTTCTTACCATGGGCAATAATACAGCAGTGCCAATGTCATGACACTGGCAGTTAGAGCGTGCAAGTTCGACCCGCAGGGATTCAGAAACTAAGCCGGCCTAAGCTTCTTAACCAGATCGCTTGGGCTTCCTTCGCTTCAAATTCTTGAAGCATTTCACTGTACTTCAAGTCCAGGATCTGAATTCCTGCAGAGATTAACACAGGAGAGCACTTGTCAGCTCCTGGTAGTTTATTTAGTGTCCCTGGAGCACCCCAACAATTGACAAAATCATCAAGCTCTGGAAGCGCGGGCATTTTTAAGGAAGCATGCTCATGAGTGGAAAGCACATCGCAACTCCTGACACGGGGTTGCACCAGCTTGGAGTCTCTATACTATGTAATGAGGATTGCATTGTAGTTGCTTGTAGGCGTCTGCCGTACATCATAAGGGGCACAGTACCCCCTTTTTAACGCCCATGCGTTGTACTTTCAGCGAAATTCAGTGGCATGACCCCAGTGAGATAACCCTAACATCTGAGATCTATTGTGGAAACCGCCTCCAGGCTGTTTTGCCGGAATCCTCTTCATTGTTCACACATGGGATCTCAAAAAAGCAGGGGTGAGTTTTTGGGGGTCCCGATAATATTATTTTGGGGTCTACATGTCTATGTGGGGGTTTCCCTAAATTAGGGGTATCCCTTTTGGGGGTCCCATTTGAGGTCTATATTGGGGTCTCCCTATTTTGGGAAACTGCAATGTGTTGGGGTCCCCCAGTTATGGAAACCCCTGCATGTGCAGTCTTTGACTGGCCATTGCCAGCGCAGCTGCGGCCTCGACAGCGAAAGTCTGCGGTACCTTAAATTGGGGTTTCCCAAAATTAGGGGTACCTTTTTAGGGGTCCCCATAATAAGGATCATAGTACTTTGGGGTCTATATTGGGGTACCCTTATTTTGGGAAGCTACCAAATCACAAGCTGCTAAGGTAGAAAGGGCGGTGGATGAATCAGGCACCTAGTTGACAGCTGAACGCATTTGAATTGCCTGCAGGAGGATGAAGACCAGGCAGGGCCATTCCTGCATCTGGCTGTCATTCAGCCACTGCATCTTGTTAAAAATTATTGTACCGGATTCGTGCCCATGTTTAGCTGGATGGCATCTAACGTAAGCTTGAGGCAAATGCCAGCATCTAGTGGACAGGAGCACCGCTTCGCTTCTACAGCTATGCTCTTCAATGCCAAGGAGCGGGTTCACAAGGCCGCTGCCGGCGGGTGGGTCCACTGGGCCGGTAGGTTCTTCAGGTTTACGGGTTAGAGTTCTACAGAGAAATGCATCAAAAATGAGTCCCATAGAATCTCATAGAATCATCAGCAAGGACACCGCGATCCCCTTGTAGCCCAAAAGTTACCCTACCATCCCTACCTAAGAGCCTCCTATTTCAAGAACCCCCATACGACGGCCGCCTGAGAATATTCTGGCAGGTGAACGAAGAGCTCACCCGAGCGCAGGATCTGTTAGCCAGCATTGCCAGCCTGGCTCCATTTGGCACCAGAGATTTGCCGAATAGATACGGGGGATATACAGGGATCATAAGACAGGGGACCATTTTTCGGAACTAACCCATCTTGTGAGTTGCAGGAAGCCAGGAAGAACAGATAGAAACAGGAAAGGGTAACATGGGCTCGTTCGCCGGGGTTACCACCGGAGTTTCTTAAGATCCAGGGGCCCCATCATCCCTTATCATCCCCATAGGGTCCATGTGGCGCCCTCGGTTTTGGAACTCCCCCCCCAATGGCAGGAAGATGCGCTGGACCAGAAAGATGCAGAGATACAGCAGTGGAAAGGCCTCGAGGCACGAGCGCTGGCCTGCTTTGTTGACAGTGGTTGGAGGGCGTCGGCATTTCTTTCCTTCCATCTGGATTACGGAAGCTCACCCAGTTCAACTCATGATGTACAGTCAGTGCTGCAAGTTTAGAAATAATCTAAGAAGTTGCTTCCGTGCAACCTGGGTGTGTTCACAGCGCCTAACTCAGGGAAAAATGCTCGCAGAAGTACGCTGGATCAACCGCATGTGCCGATGGGCCCAGCAGCGTGCGTTATGCAGGTTGATTCGCGCTCGGCCCCCAAAGCCTGATATGGGAGTCTATCAAAATTATGCTATGCATGACCTCATAGTCCCCACAGACCCGTAGGGTGCCTTGGGGCCCTGCTGCAGGATCAACGCCGCGATGCCGAAGCTGCAGCTGCAGATGCCAAGGCAACACCCAAGCATGATTTGGGGGGCTTTCTCGAAAAGGGGTACCCGACAGCAGCCTTCAAAAAGGGGGCTATAGGGACCTGTCTAGTTTACGGGTAGCCTTAGGCACCAGGGATGCGCAGATTACAGGGGTCTTGCAGGTGAGTTTCAGGGACTTTGGGTTTGAGGGGCCTGGCCCAGGCTTCAGGGAGCTCAGTTTTCGTTGCCTTCAGGAGTTGGTGTTTGAGGCTCTGGGCCAGTACAAAAAGTTTCGCATGAGATCAACCATATCTTGACAGAACATTGGCAGATTATCCCTATAAGCCCCTGTATAAACACAGCTTCCATGTAACTCTCATCTTGTCCATGCGAGTCTCGATTAGTTCCTGAAGCCTATCAAGGTGGGTTCCAAGCTCATAGCGGAGTGAGGATTCGTTTTGAGAAGCCTCCCAATACCACGCAGGGCCCACCTCTGAAGGGTTGAATGCTAGACTCTAAATCGTTGTACCCCTAAAACCCAAACCCTAAACACAGTCTTAGTCGGATTTGTGCCTGATGCAGAGCTGCATTTCGTTTAGGCTCGACTGAGATGTAAACGCTCGGACCCGGGGACCGTGCTCAAGCATTCCGGAGAAAAGGTCCGATAAAAAGAATTTAACCCAAAACCCGGACTCTTCTTGGCCCTAAAGCTCCCTGCCCAAAAGGAAGCAACACACCAAAAACGCATTAGGTCAGGGCTGAGGAAGCCGAAGCAGAGCAGCGCATTCCTGGCTGTTGTCTTGCTGGGATTGGGATTTATGTTTTACTCATGAAGCTGCTATGGGATGCATGGAAAGAAACTGGAAATTAGTATCAAAGTAAACTTGTATTAACATCATATTCAGTGGGTGCTGGAGTGCAATGGGTTCTAGGGACTTTAGCATGTACTCAGGGAGCACTGCAGGGATTGGAGCCCCCAGGGACTCTGTAAAGGCTAATGTCCTTGTAAACAGAGGCATGGGAGGTTCCATGTTGGTCTGGGGCAGGGTCTATTCAATCTAAAGGTTTTGGGACTCATAGTTAGGTGTATGCCCTGGGTATACGCTGTCGAGGAAACCTTGCAGCAGGCTTATGGCCTTTGGTCTGCAGAGCAAGCCCGGCCTCACCTCAGAAATGCAGCCTGAACCCTTTGCGCCACGATACATGTCCCACACTGGAGGAAGTACCCTTCCTGGAAGATCTGAAGTCGCGACAGATTCTTCGATCAGTCGTAGGGGTACCTTTGCAGGGTCTAGGATGTTTCAGAGTGTAGGACTCAGAGAGTGTGGTTTAGTGCACCTCGGAGTCCTAGAGTTGGACAGGTGTATACGTGCAATGCAATGCAGCCCAACACCCGCGGAATCATTCAGCTCCGTATTTCCAGCTTCGCGGGGCATAATCAGAACATCGTGGCTGGGATCCTCAAACTTCACGCAGTGCCAGGCCGACTAGAAAAAGCCGCACGAAAGGTGCCAGCTTGTGGCTTCGTGTTTCTGAGAGAATTATCTGGCTTTGAAATTTGTAGGCCCAACCAGTCTTGAGAGTCAATTCCAAGACAGGAGAGGCATGCCGGAGCAGGTCCTACTTGTAGCCGAAAACTGCGCGCACGCCATGCGAGGGGTCATGCAGGCTGCATGGGGTGCAACGCAGTTGCTGAATCTTGTCTACTACAGTGCCACCGGGCCTAAATGTGAGTCTGAGTCGGAGTTTCTGAATCAGATAGAGAGGAGCCCTCTTCACCCAGACTCACTGCTCAACAAATCGAAATCGGCGGCCTCAACGGGTTGGAGGTAGAGTAGATTGTACAGAGACCAGGGATGTGGCCGTGCCCTTACGCTTGGATTTGTCCATGCTCATTTGATACCCCGATACAAAAAAATCCTTTTGATGGGTACTACCAGAAGGACACCTAGTTGTTGAACGGCCTCATGGTTAATCTTCGCCTCACATAATTTCGCAATGACCCAGGAACTTGAGCCCCAGGGTTTAGTTAGATGTGTTTTGATGCTTGCCAGTTACTCTCCTCATTGACAGTACTAAAGCATGACAGCTTCTGAACAAGATTCTTAATTTCAAAAGGCCATGGCCGCCACGGATTCTCAAACGGAATTTTAACGGCTGGGTGGCCCAATATGACGGAGGTCATGAAGTCATGTATGACGGAGAATAATCTTGTTGCTTCTCCCATTTTCTTTCCAGCAGTTCTATATTGGTTGCTGTAGGTGGCCACACTAATACGTTCTTGTGTTATGTTGTGTGGTGTTAGGTTTTGTTCGCTGTATTAATTCGTAGTCCGTTTTCACTGATTTATATGTCTTTCTGCAGGCCAAGCGTAAAGCTGCCAAGCTGGCAGAGAAGGAGCGACGTTGCGTTTCAATGTTGTTGCAAAGGTGCTTGTAGGCCACCACTAGATAGCACTTGTAAGGCAAACAATGACGAAACATGATATTGATATTTCATCTGTGTGTAACACCTACAGTGATGGTGGAGAGTCGAGAGACGTCGAAAACATGTCGAAAACAATTTACAGTACCGTTCGCATTTTCCTGTAGAGTATTCAAGAGAATTGTGGAGAAGGTACAGCATCTTCAGAGCAGGTTGCAGTTGTTTCCTGAAAGGACATTCCAGGTGGGTATTTATGCGTGACCTCAGTGGCTGATTCTGCCAGGAGAGGTCTTGGAGATTCGGGCTCAGACTGAAAGTCCATAGCTGTGGCTGTCACGGTATTCCGGAGATGGTGCTTCTCGAGATCACCCAGAAAAATCACTGATAAGAACCCACCCAGATACATCTCCTCCTTTTTCTGAGCTAGCGTCAGCTACTATACTTATTAGCGTTGTTGAGGGACCCTTAAGAGTGGACATGGGAGTCCCTCTTGTAGTTTAGTATACTCCCCAAAAAAGTCCCCAATAAGGAGCCCATATCCAATCAACTATGCAGGAAGTATTGACTGTAGCTCATATAGTAATCCCTATGCAGTCATGGACCACGCCCAGTCCTCAGAAACTCCCAGAAAGCCTCTGTACCTTGGACTCCTTCCAGGAGAGGCTCGCCAAGGTGCAGGCGGAAGAAGAGGTGAGCGCAGAAGCGGTCTCACCACCAGCCGTGTTATATCCTGTAAGCCGTGAGCTCGGGATTGGTACTAATCTTACTGAGGGAATAGAGGTAATATAGGGGTAATGGAAAAAGTGGACACTAGTATAACTAGTAAAGTAATAAGATGGGTATATGTTGGGGTTAATAAGGAAACATAATCCTTATGTCGTATATCATCCCCATAAAACATATTCCCTTCTTCCCTACTAACCACCTGCAACTGAATTTGAGGATTTCTTAGAATTGGATAATCTTCTGGAGCCCAGTGTCATACAGGGACTTAATCTGAACAATAACTCTTGGAACCTGAAAGCGGACCTTGGCCTCGAAAATATCGGCCAACATGCTGGAGACCCAGAGTAATGTCATTGCAGCTTGCGCATGCCCTACAGTAGGCCCTGAACTCATCACCCTATGCCCTGAACCTCGAAAACCTGGATCATTGAAAATTGAGCCCGAGGCAAGACATCTCAGCTTCAGGGTGCGAGACTGGTGAGTTGCCTCGGGCTTGGATGGAATTTGCTTCGCAGAGTCCGTTGATTTGACGCTGCGTCTTACTGGTCGGCAAGATCGAAACCGATTTTTCGTCTCCAGTATTACGTTGTTGGCGTGGACCCTTTGGAGGTTTTGTTTGGCTTGCCACCTGGGTTCCAGGCTATGGATGAGGGATAGTAAGATTTTCAAGTTGTTGGCAGAGCTTTCCTCGTCACTTCTTGGGCTTTCCTTACTGATGGCCTAGCGTACTGGTGCTTGCGTTGAATACGAACCATCTGACGCTGGACTTTGCACATGACGCAGGTGTCGGTGGCGAGAAAGAGGAGGAGGACAAGTGCGCGGGATCCAATTTCAAGCCCGTTTGTTGATAGGAGTAGTAATAGTAGTAGTAGTAGTAGTAGTAGCAGCAGCAGCAGTAGTAGTAGTAGTAGTAGCAGCAGTAGCAGTAGCAGTGGCAGTGGCAGTAGCAGTAGCAGTAGCAGTAGCAGTAGTAATAGCAATAGTAGTAGGAGTAGTAATATTACTAGCAATAATTAGTGGAGGAGTAGTAGTAGGTCACGGGCGGGGAAAAAAC